TTTAAGGAGTTTAGACTAGCTCATATAGCCCTAATATTACCCCAATGGGTACAACCCATAGGGTGTAGGGTTTAAGGGGTCTCCGGCTGGCAGGTGCAAAGCCTTCTGGCGGGGGGTGGGCTGATTTTTTTGCAAAAAAATGCACATCATATTGGGGTTATATTAGGGTTATATTAGGGTCATATTTGGGTTATATTGGGGTTATATTAGGGTTATATTGGGGTAATATTAGGGTTATATTGGGGTTATATTAGGGCTACATAGGGGTAATATTAGGGTTATATTGGGGTAATATTAGGGCTATACTGGAGTTATATTGGGATAATGGAAAACCAAATGGAAACATGTATTTCCCCGTAAGACTGCAGGCGATCGAGTCAACAATGCCCGGCAAATACCCAAGCTGTAGGCCCGCTAAATATGTTGAACAATGTCAGAGCTTCCCTGTCGTAAGTGTACGAGCGTGCATGATATTGCGTGGTTATGACTTGGGTGCTTCCCTATCTTCCTTGCAGGACTCTTGGCGGGTCTAGGGGTGATAGGCATATGTCTCAGAGCAGAAATACCCTGAGGACTCTGCAGATATAGGGGAAATATGAGGAGACTACAAGGGTCACCTTGAGGAGCATGTCTGAAACATTTTGAGACACCTGAAAAGGCGGAACAAACCTCCAAAAGGAGGGACACTGACCCCGCTCTACTACCCCCTTGAGCTCTTCATCTACTAGCATCAAGCAACCCTTAATATGCTTTAACTTAAAGGGGAAGCGGGAAGCGTAGGACCGTAGGTTGGTTTGGCAGGCTTGAGCGTCTGGCTTTTAGCAGGGCATTAGGGAGTGGGCTCTAGAACCTGCAAAGACATCCCTACAAGCCATGCCCCTCATCCATAAAAGTCAGCACGTAGAAGAACCTGGCATACCAGCAAGCAACAACTGGGGTTATAGTCCCCCTGAAGTAGATAGAATATGGTTTTGGGTATATTACAGTAAGATCCCCACCTACTTCATATTCTATCTACTTAGAGGGGATTACAGCATTTTTAAGAGGCCAGGAGTGTTGATGGTGCCCTTTTGAAGGGTTCCAAGTTATTCTGGTAACTTCCCAGAATTGGAGGTACCTGTGAGGTACCTTCTTGGGGGTCCCCAGAGTAAGGATTCGAAAACCAATTGCGGACTATAGAGTCCCCCTATTTGGGGAAACTACTATTTTGAGGGAGGGTGGGTTTTGTAGTTAAAAAAAAGTTGAGGGTAAACCCGGAGACCCAAGCTCGGAGCTCCTTTTTCCCAGGTGCCCGTCGCAGGCAGACTCCACCTGAAACCTGAGACCCTAAACCCTAAACCCTGACCAAAATACTCAGCCCTTACCTCTAAACTGACGTTACGAGTCCAACTTCGGAATCCTAAAATCCCTTTTAAGTAGATAGAATATGGATGGGGATCTTAGTATAATATACCCAAAAACCATATTCTATCTACTGAAGGGGGACTGTAGGCTTCAACTCTTTTTCGGAACCTACATCTTAAACCCTAAACCCCTAAACCTTTCTGAACCTTCGACACCTGAACTGCTCCCTCAGCCAAGGTTGGGCTCTCTGCTTCGTTTGCACACGAGGCCTGCTTTGTCGGTGGCTTCAGGTGTGATTGTAGAGTTGGGGTGCTTGTTGGTTAAGGGTCACGATCTTGGGGCTTAAGGGTTCAGAGCATGAGGCCTTTCAAGGGGATCTAAGTCATCAGGATTTAGGGCTTGGGGGGTTGTTTGGGTACTTCCCAAAATTGGGGTCCCATTTTGGATAACCCTTCATAATAGGTGCCGTAATCTAATTCAAAACCAGAAGGGGCCCATAATTTTGAGAGTTCCCCATTTAGGGGGTACCCTAAACCCGAAACCCTAAACCCTAAACCCTAAACCCTAACCGCATCTAACGTAGTCTAGGGCTTACATGAAGCCTCGGGCTTGCGGAGCCCTCCACTCTAAACTGGGTTGCTGCTAAGTGAAGGAACTTACAGCAAGTTACCAGAATGGGTATATATAGGGTTTAGGGATTAGGGTTTACACTTTAGGGCTTAAGTTACCATAATGGGTATACAGAGAAAATAATAGGGTTTCCCCTATATAGTAACTTAAATTGAGTTCCTAAACTCTAAACCTCCAAACCCCTACACCGCTTGGCTGGAGGATTGGCGCGCCGTGTGGGATCTGATTTCGCGCTTTTGAAGTTCAAAGGTATAACATCCAAATCCTAGAAGCCCCACGTGAAATGCAAAACGCGGGGGTCCCCTTCTGTGCGGTCCCTAGAATGAGGATTCTAGCATTTTGGGGAATACGAGTATCCACTCTCCACCAGAATTACTTGGAACTCCTGACAGGGCCCCATGAAGACGAGCTTTGCAAAATTGAATGGGACAGGAAAGCATACTCAAAAGTCCAAAATGTGATTGAAGCGTGCACTAGTTATTGAGGGTACTGCATGCAAGCCCGGGCTTACTTAGCAAGCACCCCCACGAACCCTGAACCCCAAATAGAAACACTCCAAGTCCTGCACCCCAAATCTTAAACCCTAAGAGCGCATCCCAAAGCCCCAAATCCGAACATCTAAATCACAAGAGCCCGAAGGCCTTGAACCCTCAACCCCATAAACATCCATAAGCTGTGAACCCAGCATGCCTACTTTGCTGTCTTCTGCAGCGGCAGAGCCACTGCCAGCTTTTTTAAGAGGCCTGGGCTGTGCAGGAGGCTTTTCACAAGGGTTTTTAGGGTTTAGGGTTTAGGGCTTGGAGGCTCATGGCTACCCAGACCCCTGGGAGGATCTAAAAATTAGACCCCCTATATAGACCCATTATAACCCCTATATAATCCTTATATAATTTCCCATATGGTTCTAGGGGATCTAATTGTTAGATCCCCTTTGGGGGTCTGGGTATTTATAAGTAGGGGCTAAAAGTCAATTATGTTTAGTTGAAGTCTAACTTCGGGTACTTATGACCCTACCTATAAATCCCCCTGGACCATCAAGTAATGTTGTGTGAAATTCTTGATGGATCCGTAGGATATTGACCAGTTGTAGCTTCGGCTATTCCCTACCTAGCACACTCTATAAGAACCAAGAAGACTTGGTGGTTCAGGGTGTTTGCCAAAGTTTTCCATGTACTTAGAACCCGTCCTTAACCCTATCAGGGTGCTACATGTACAACTAGAAGTGACTTGAAATTGCCCTGATTTTCCACGTGCCGCAGAGAAACCCCTTGCTCTGGAGACTGGCGTCGTGGCCACCGCTGAGCCCTACTTGGTGGTCCATGTGGTAGTTTCCCCAAATTAGGGCAACCTTATATCCCCCAACATACCATTATCCTTATTATAGGGTTCCCCAAAAAGGGTACCCCTAATTTTGGGAGACCCCATGTGTACTGTATTGCCGTTTGAGGTCTACTCAGGGTACGCGGTGCCACAATGATACGAAGAGCCTAAGACTATGACACTGGTGATTATGAACGGCCCCTGTATTCCTTAGAAAAGTACAATGATAATTGTGCTGTTATTAGTACCCATGGACCTCCAAGTATTGCAGCTCATTCAGACACCCACATGGACATAAGTGTGTTGAACCAAGCGATCTCTGAAGTCACTGACCCTGAACCCTGAACCCACCCCAAAACCCTATTAGCTAGTTATGCAAACCCCGAACTGTCCTCGAAGCTGTCCTGGGAATCAACATGGAAAGCTTCAAACAGTCCAATGCCCTATGAGTCCCATGAAACCTTGAACCACTGAAAGCCAAAGCCCAACCAAGAACTATTCGCAGGAATTTTTTGGGGACCGAGGACCTCATGCGTGCTTACCAAGGAGTGGTGAAGCGCCTGGACTACTTAGGAAGCATTCTGAAAGCTACTCCTAATTCCATCATCATCCCAGCCCTCCCAAGCGATCCGAAAGATGGAACCTTATTCACTCCCCACTCCACCTCCAACTCCAAACCCCAAAGACTTCAAACCCCGCGCAACACAAATCCCTAAATAAAACCCCTTACTCCCTAGCCACCAAACCCTACGCCCTCCTTAAGTAGATAGAATATGGCTTTGGGCATACTATAACAGGATCCCCATTTACCC